AAGTTCGTTTGATTTGGATAAAATATAATTTCTATTTCAGAATATTTTAATAAAAATGACAAAATTTTTTGTCTAAAAACACTAATTATTTTTAGAATAATAATAATATGAATGTTAAAAGTATTAAAATTTCTTAATGGTATTATTAAGAATTTAATTTAATATAAACTTAAAATTAAAATATTGTTTTAAATGCTTTTTTAAAATTTGATGATACATTAAATTTATTAGAGGATTGGTAAAATTGATTAAATGATCATATTTGAAATTATTTTAACTCATTAAATAAATATCAATTATATTTTTAAATATTTAATTAACTTGAAGTTCATTTTAATTTTAACTATTAATTAGATAAAAATAATTGATTAATTTTGATTGTTTTAGTTCAATTTAATAAAATTATATATCAGCTATTTATGTATTTCAAAATATAATAAAATGAAAAAAAAATACTACAATGTTTTAAGTTCCAACTAATACTATTAATTACTAGCTTATATTTTTCTAGTTGGTATGATTTAAGATAATTGATTTAATTTTTCAATAACATTAATAATGACTCAATATAGTACCAATAGAATTTCAAAACTAAAAAAAGGGAAAAGAAATTAGGGTAATGTGGAGAAATTAATTGTAATGCAAGTAAATAGAAGTAGTCAATTTATGTAATTACTTCCGTTATTATGTTTTTATTTAGATCAAGAAATGGAAACCTCTGGATTAATTAGTGTAAGGTGACTTAATATGTACGTTTATTTTACTGAAAACTGGTTTTCAATTCCATAAAATAATATTGCTCTTTTTGCTTATTACGTACATCTATTATTTATTTGTGTATATAATTAAAAAGTAGATATTTTAATACTTCAATATTTTATTCATTTTTATAGCTCATAGTCTATACATTCTTTTTATTTTTACAACTTTTTATACCTTAGCTTTTTTAATTTATTATTAAAGTAAAGTAATATATTATCATTGCTATTTCTTATATCTTTCTTATTACGAAGGCGTTAATATAATTACAGTTGTTACTATTATTACAAATATATATGCATGCTATATGTATTATTAAAATATCATTCTATTATTAACATGCTATGTCTATTATTAATGAGTTATTATATTACAATTTGTACCAAATGTTTTCGCAGTTCCGGCTTGTTTTACCAAGGCCGGTTCGAAGGATATAAATTGATGCCGTTGACAACTCAGAGACCACGGGTTTTGTGTAGTAGCGATGAAAGGGCCAAGTGGAAGGGATATTATAATAATACAATATAAATATGGCTGACGTATATGCTGTTTATTCTGTTATTTATTCGATGACAAGGTTGACTAGTATTACTATTATTAATTATAGAAATAATTCTTGCGGTGGATTAATGTACACACTCATCTATGCAGCGTGATGGTTGAATTTGAGCGCAGAATGGGGCGAAGTTTGATTCGTCGACACTCGCGCTGTTGGACGAGCATGTGCGTAATTGAGGTTATGGTTGGTATGTAGCGCGACACATGTAACTGTTGTTATTTAAGAAAAATAGTCGTATTGTAGCAAGCGTACCTTGTCCTGAATTGGCGTACTGCAATATATTCAGATGAAAGTAAGATTTTGAAGAGCCTTTACCTCATGAAGGATACTGCTACTTGTTGTGTCTTTTGCGAGCGTTGAATAGCACGCTGTGGTTTCATAAGGGTCAGACTTTTCACTAAGATGACGATAAAGGTCGGTAAGTCCCGCATCAGATGATGCGACCTTGACGACAAGCTTGGAATTATTCCGCACTGTCTCTCTGGTGAGAGCCCCTTCTTCGTGGTTGATGGTCGAAGACCATCTTAATCTTAAGTTTTATTTAATTACTGTAGTGGTGATACTACTTACAAAGACTAATCATTGACTCGTCTCCGGATTCTGATATGCTGATTGTCGTCGCTCCCTTTAAACTTGTAACGACCGTTTCTTGAACTGCGTTAATGGACATACGGGGAGATGTCGTCGTTCTTCTGGGACGTGTAACTACTGTTGCTTGAACAGCGTTAATGGATAATCCGATAAGTGGAAGTCGTCCCTTCTTTGAACATGTAACGACGGCTTGTTGACCTGCGTTAGTAGACATACGGGTGTATGTCCTCGTTCTTCTGGGACGTGTAACTACTGTTGCCTTGAACAGCGTTAATGGATAATCCGATAAGTGGAAGTCGTCGCTTCTTTCAACATGTAACGACGGCTTGTTGACCTGCGTTAGTAGACATACGGGTATATGTCCTCGTTCCTCTAGGAGGTGTAACTACTGTTCCCGTGACAGCGTTAATGGACTTCCACTTGACATTTATTTGAATAAGAACTATATCGAGAGTGATGAATCTTGGAAAATACGTCCCTTAAATACATTTGCTGACCATGAACTTCACTTGAACCCCTTCCCTTAATTTTCGTCCAATCAGAGACTCCTCCCTTACAGAGCTAGGGCAGCGCCTCTTGTGGCTTCATAGTTAATTAAGGGCCTAGTCGTCTTTTGGTCTTCATGCAAGAACAGTTCTCGTTGCCGCTGACGCATCTGGCGACAGCATGACAAATTGTCGACAGGGGGGGGGGTCCGCTAGTACATATTGCTTGAAGTAGTTACCGTGCGGAGCAAATTCGTACAGTTTATTGTATTGTTTTTCCAGATGTTTTATGAAACTGTTGCTAGGTAGATGCGAGCAAGAAAGTTTTGAAATCTAAACACATATTTTACGATATTGTTTTGCCAGATGTTATATTGCATTGAAAAAAAGGTCTCGCAATCTCGAACACAATTTATTAAAATTATATGTATTGATAAATGTTAATTATATTAAAAAATATTAAGAAAATTTCTGTGATTATGGATTAACTTCTCTAATTAAAGGATTAGATCTTAGTATTTGAAAATAGAAAATCGTTACTTTTCGTACTTTTCAAATAAATTTGCGTATTCTCTTATATTTCAGCTTATATCTAAGAGCAAAGTCAAAGCGAAAAATCTCAGATATGCTGAAGCACAAATGTATGATATCAATGAATTTTGTAAAAAGGAATAGAAAAATAGTTTGTATTGCACAACTATAAGTGTACAAAGTAGGCGATATAAGGGCCAACAACTGCTACACTGCGAGAATGATTCCAATTTGGGCAATAGTGCTGCATTTAATTTCAGTAAACTTCGAAAAAACGCACAAAATTCATATTGCTTACCTTTGCTTCTACTTACTACATAAGTATTCAACTTTACATTCTCGTTTATTTGTTTGTGGATTCCATAAAAATACCCATGTTCTACCAATTTCATTTAAATTTACTACATCCTGCATTTTTTAATCGTAAGTAGAGCATGTTATACTTTACATTTTTTCATTTTCTCACTATTTAGCTCATACCTTTTATTAATTTAAAATTTACAAAATATATAACAGTCATCAAAATACAAAAGCAATATAATAGAGATGGCGACAACAGGGATAACGTCGGGAGCAGCAGATGTAAAGATATCGAGGTAGATTTTATTCTAGAATGGTTTCACTGAAAAACTATCTCTTGGAATACAAGGCTTTGAACATGAAACCATTTTATGAAATTATATATTTTTATTATTATTAATACGAATGTCTCAGCTTATTTTAAAATTTTCTTTAATTTCACTCTCTTTCATTCATTCCTAATTGCACGTTTTTTGTATTTGCGTCATATTATGTTCTCAATATTCTTCATTAATAAATATATTTGTTAAAATTTGGAAAAAAGTTATTATACTTTTTTTAATTAACGATAATGATTGTCTATTGATAATTAAAATTCTAATGTTATAAAAGTCATTAACAATTAAGAAAACTAGATTTTCAATAATTTTCAGAAATATTTTTTTATATAATTCAAATTAATCAAAATAGTGAATTAACAATGTTTTAAAAAAATATATATTAATTATATATATATTTATATATTAAAAATATATAAATGAATATACAAATATCGTTTATACTTTATTGTAAATAGAACATTGCAGTAAATGGAAAATAATCAAGTACGATATTTTATTTATATAATCTCTTAATTAAAACGCTTATTAGGAAGAAATGTAAAAATTTCTTGTTTAACCTTTGTAATTGTGTAATATTTTACGTATAATATTGTAGATGATGCTAAAGTATGCTTAAATATTATGCTATTTAATGAAAATAAGAGTTTCATAAAAGTTCGTCTGTGTATGAAAAATAAAAAAAAAAATTGAGAAAAGAGATGAAAAAGAGTCCGGGAAGCTGCATTTGTACGAGCAGCATAAAATGAAGAGGCAAAGAAAGAGAGAGAGAGAGAGAGAGAGAGAGAGAGAGAGAGAGAGAGAGAGAGATGTGTATGACAATGCATATCTGAATACAAGCTTTTTAGTTGAATAATGTGGGAATACTTGTTCCCTGATTGCCCTTTTCAACTAATAAAGCAAACTTCTACTTTATAGAAGAATGATAATAATAAAAAATGATATGAAACATTTTGTAGCAAAAAAGTCGGCGACACAATACTGGATAAAGCAACACTATTTACATCATACAATTTTAAGCTGCTTCAATTGTAAGAAATTGTTGAGTACCGATGCTTTTTTCGCTATTGTTTGCCACTTTATTTACTTTTACTCTCTCTTTATTTTTTGCTATAATATTTATAAATGTTTTATACTTTTTCTCTTTTTTTTCTTTTAAATTTTCTTCTTAAATTTTCTTATATATTTCGTTGTTATCGTCTATTAACTCTTGTTACAATAAATTTTAAATTATAAGAAGAAGAATGAAATAAGAAAGAGAATAGTAAAATAAAAAAGTAATTTTATAAAAATGCAATTCGAATTTTGTTTTGTGCGCTTTTATTATTTAATTTTGTTTTACTGATCGATTGTATATTAAATTTTTTAATGTATAATTCAATGAATCTTTCATTTAGTATTATTAATATTTTTTTATTAAATGATTAAACATCAGGCATGGTTTATCCAAAATTTAGATAATACTTAAGAAGCTGTTAGGTTGCAAGTTATTCGTTTTCTACTTCATCGATCGAATTCAGTCTTACTTCATGTGCTTCAACATTAAAGTCTATCGATCTTTTTCTATGCATTCCTTCATTTATGAGCTTTTCCCAACTGAAATTTAATTTGTCTGAATTCTGTTGTATTAGAAGCAATGCCTTCGATTCTATTTCCCCGTAGTTGTGAATAATTTTCTCTTCAGATTTTACGTTCTATATGAAATTAAGATTGACCCCAAATTAATTTCTGTTTAATGATATAATTTTTATATTTTGATTAAATATATCTATAAAAATATTGTACTCATACTTACATATAAAATAGAATTTACATCAAATAAAACTATCCTGTTAAAAAGTTTGTAAAAGTCTGTTTTAATTAACATAATTTTAATATTAGAATAATTTAATTAATATATACAATATATTTTAAAAAATTGAAAATGTTTTTATATTAACTACATTTTTTACAATACAATTTTAGATTACATAATTTTATTATATTTTCAAAGAACATAATATTATAAATAAATAAAAGTTTATAATGTTTTATTTTATGTTTTCTAATTTTAACATTTGCTTATTATTATTTTCAATGTTTGAATTCACAATTTCATATTTCATAAAATTACAATAATTATTTATTTTTTTAGTTTTTTTATAATATATCATATAATATACATTGAATGGAATGTAATATAAAATTCAATACTATACTTAATTTTATAAAATTAATATATGTATTGCCTCTTTATTTTTGAGATATGTACTTATTCTCAAATTCTTTTATAAATTTGTATGTATAAAGAAATTTTGACAATGTTTTACATAAATTTCAATAGACTAAAAATGTGATCTAATTTTAAAATAATTACACAATATTATCTGATAGCGTTATCGATACTTTTAAGAACGATTTTGTGTGTTAAAGTATAAAATATATAAATAACTTTTTTAAACATTTGAAATCATTCTCATTAACCAACTTTAAGATCATGAATGATAAACAATATTTTTCTATATACGTTTTAAAATATATTTATTGTTATAGAAAATATCAATATTATTATTAAATAATACAAAAGAAAATATACAAAAAAGATAAAATATCCAAGTTATTCGATTACTTTTTACGATTCAAATTATTTAAGTATTTCAAATTATGAAATTATATTTATTTTATATACAAATTAAAAAATTAACTATTTTAGTCATACCATATCATATTATCGTGTATTAGTTTATATCTTAAGTTCACGAAAGCAAAAAAATTTATTTTTTGGAAAATTAAAGAATCATCAAATTTAATTGGCATAATATAATTAATTTAATCATATTTTTACTGAATGTTAACTTTATTATATACAGAATTTTATTCTATATTTTCATAAATTATACATATTATATGCATACTTAATGTTTTAAACTTCTAAACCATAAATATAAATATACTAGAGATGTTTTATTTATAATAAAAATATTGAAGCTAATAAAATTGAATAAAATAATAAAATAAATAAATAAAAATTGATAATTATATATATATATATATATAAATTAATATAGATTAATATAATTATAAATAGTTTCACATTGGAAAATAATTATAATATATGAATTTGTACAAAATGTATTCACCGTTCAGGCTGGTTTTACCAAGACCGGTTCGAAGGATACAAATTGATGCCGTTGACAACTCAGAGACGACGGGTGTTGTATGGTATTGATGAAAGGTCACAAGTGGAAGAGATATAATAATACAATATAAATATGGCTGATATATATGCTATTTATTCTGTTATTTATTGATGACAAGGTTGACTAGTATTACTATTACTAATTATTGAAATAATTCTCGTGGTGGATTAATGTACACACTCATCTATGTATCGTGATGGTTGAATTTGAGCGCAGAATGGCGCGAAGATTAATTCGTCGACACTCGCTTAGTTTGTTGCTTTAATTCATAAGCGTCCGAACTTGAACTAAGGAGAGGGTTTGTCGACAAGACGCCTTTTAGTGGGCGCGAACTTGGCGACGCGTACTGGAATCTATTCTGCACTGTCGCTTTGGGGAGAGCCTCTTCTTCCTTAGTTGCTTGTCGATGTCATAATCTCTGAATCTCAGAGTATGTAATTATTGTAATAATAATATTACTTACGAAGACTACTGGTATATTTGAAATTGGGACCTCCTTGTTCTTTCTTCAAGGGGGCTTGTCACTGGACACTTGTCGTTGGAATGTGTCGCCCGCCAATAGGACTTGTAACGATAGCTGTGGTGAATTACGTTAATAGGAAACTGCCAGCGTCTTCGGACTCTGATATCCGGATTGTCGTTGCTCCCTTTGAACTTGTAACGACGGTTTCTTGAACTGCGTTAGTGGACATACAGGTGCATGTCGTCGTTCCTCTAGGTCGTGTAAGCACTGTTCCCTGCATCCTATATTAAGAGTTATGAGTATTCAAAAATGCACCCCTTAAATACATTTGCTGACCATGAATTTCACTTGAACCTTATTTTTCGTCCAATCAGAAACTCCTCCCTTACAGAGCTTGGGCAGCGCCTCTTGTGGCCTTATAGTTAGTTAAGGGCCTAGTCGTCTCTTGGTCTTCATGGCAAGAAGAACTCTCGTTGCCGCTGACGCATCTGGCGACAGCATGACAACTTGTCGGCACAGGAAAGGGTGGCGTAGGTACGCTCGCATAATGCCTGAAGTCATTACCGAGCGGAGCGGATTCGTACATATGCCTAACTGAGTGGGTTTTTCCACATTTATTGTATTGTTTTTCCAGATGTTTTATGATACTATTGGTAGATAGTTGCGAGCAAGAAAATTTTGAAATCTACACACAAATTTTACGATGTTGTTTTGCCAGATGTTATATTGCATTGAAAAAAAGGTTTCGCAATCTCGAACAGAATTGATTACTAAATTAATTAATTAAATATATGATATTTAAAAAATATATTTAGGATTATAAGTATATAATCTTTAATAAGGTTCATTAGTAGTTAATACTAAAAGATTTAAGTGCATTAGCTAATATTGGGAATATCAACTTTATGAAATTTTTAGGAAATATGATTAATTTTTATTTAAATTTTTTGGTACGTTTATACGTATATTTAAATAATAAAGTACAGATGTGCTCGATTTTATGGGTATGGTTTATAGCTCGAACTGCCAATTCAATAGTTCAGTGGATTAGTCTCTCGTCAGGATAACTTTAAAGGAAATAATAAGTGGAAGGGCTGAAAAATATTATGTATAGTGTAATTTTAGTAAAATCAATGTTCATTATTTGGTAAATTATTATAATAATATTGCACTGCTGTGGTGAGAGAAGATTATTCTATTTTAGTAATGAGGGTGTTTCCTTGATTCTTGATTCGTTCTTGATTATTGTAGATTCTATGGGCATTACTGTATATCTTGTAATTGAGGTTATGCTGATGTTGTAAATATCAGCTGGTGTAGTCATACTCATGAGGTAGCATGAGATGATGGTGTTTGAATCAAGTATGCTTGATAGATGCAATAACTATACTTGATATGGTGTAAGATGTTTAATGGAAATTGGTGCATAATCAATTATGTCTTTAGTTATAATGGGAACAGTAGAAAGGACTAGTCACACGCAAGAATCATAAATGACAAGCCTTCGAACTTTGAAGGACTTGATGAAAATATATTTATAGTCGATTATTCGATTAATTAGTCGATATTATATTGTCTGGCTTAGACAATGCGCTTGACGAATTGCGTCACTTGTGTCGGTTCCTTGTGGGCCTGTATGAGGTTGAAGCGTTAGTTCGACTGAGAGAATATAAATTGCCAAATTTATTCTTGTGCGAGGTGTGACTAGCTTATTTAATAATATAAAAAATGTACCTTGTGAGCTGCAGACAAGGTGTGTTAGTTTACTGCGTAATTGATATCCCCTTTGATTACTATTCCAACTGGCTTCACTGTAAATCACTACTAAATCTGCCGATTTCCTTTAAATAATGCACACGTATATTATTAAGTAGACTGCTGAATTTATGGCCAAGTGTCTTCGTCACAGTATATACTAATACGCTGAGCGGTAATTACAGTTTAGTGAGCGCGAAGTAGGATTACAATGAGCATTGCGACATGGTGAGCTGCCTTCAAATATACATGCAGCAGGATGCAACGCCGGCAACAGTGCCGCCGCTTATCGCTATACCAAAATTTCTTTGTGGCGTTAGAAAACGAAACTTCTAGATTTCGTTTCTTAGGCGTTCTTCCTTTGTGTGATCTTATAGTATATTGGATTTCATGCCGTAAAACTTGCTCGGACTTGTCGAGTTGTGTTTATAAACATTCGCCTGAGTGCGCGTCCCGGTCCGGCGCGCGTGCCGTGCGCCGTACAGCTTGTGTGACCTACTTTGTCTTAAATTCGTGGAAACTACGTCAATCCCGAACAAGATGAATATTTTAGTTATAATTTTTGCTTTAGAAAGATTCAAGGCAATATTCATTAATAAAAATATATATGCTTAATGTGTAATTTGTTAATACTTAAATTAATTTTTTGGATTATTTGTTAACTTATTTACTATTATTAAAAATAAAAAGATTAAATAAACATAACAAATTAAGTAATGTAGATTTAACTAAGTGTTGAGTAAGGTAAAGTTTCTCAGATTATTCTACATTTCTTGAAGGTTAATTATAGCAGAAAATTTCTTTATTTTAGGCTAATATATTTTTCAGATACTTATGAATACATTACTGATGTTTCTTTAGTTTTTATTATAATACGACAGATATAATTGCTTATAAATATTATAATAGCATACAACATTTTTTTAATCTAAAAAATAAATGAGTAATTATCTTTATTGCTTTATTTATCTTCTCATTTATATTGCTTCTATATAATATAGATTTTAAAAAATGCTTGAAAGTTTGAATTAAAGGAACTCATCCAGATGAACACCTTAAATTCTAATGAACTATTATAATTTATAGTATTTATTGTGTTATGGAAATAATTTTCATGAAAAAGGACCTTGTATTTTTGCTACTTATAATAATAATATAATTTTTATATAAAATTAAAATTAATAATCTAATTATTACTGTGTTAATATTCCCATGAAAGATGAATGTTTGTTAGTGTCATTTTCAATAGGCAGTTAGATAAATGTATCGTGCTTATGTGGTAATTCCTCTTTTTGTATATTTAAGAAAAATATGTAAAACTGAGAAGGAAATCATAGTTTTAATTTAATTGAGTATAGATATCGAATCATTACTTTAGTATTTAATGTATTGAATATAATGAAAAGTTTAATTTGATAATTACGTTGCTAATTGTAGTCGTTTCCACAGAAACTGCATCACCGAACCCTTGGTTGAGGGAAAGTAATTTTTTATTGTAATGAGGAAAATTAGAGCCCACAACATTCAGGAAAAGCTTATCGGCTGTCTCAATTATGTATTGACGTTTTGTTTCTTTGTCGTGTGCCTCTCGTTTTATCCTTAGTATTGGTTCTCGTCGCCTTTCTAGTTCCTCTTCATTCAAGCCTTTTTTCTCAAGTATAACTTGCTGCATTCGGTTCATTTCACGCGTTACCCAACGTGCTCGTAGTTTATCGATGAGAGTCTTTCGTGCATTTTTCTAGTTAAATAAAATTTTCATATGGTTAACAATAAAAGTTATAAATCACATTAATAAATCGACAAATAAATAAAAAAAATGTATTAAACATTAAATTTTAATATTGAATAGTTGTATACAAATTAATAGATTTAAAAATTGGTATTTTAAATTTTAAATCTAATTTGTATAATTATTTATTAATAATATATAATCATATATTTATTTTAAATTAGAGTACAAATAATTATATTAAATGAATCCAAAAAAGAATTATTAAAATAAATATATATATCTCTGAATTATAGTATAATTTTATTGTAGTAATAGAATAGTTTTAAAATCGCTTATATTTTTGTATTTAGTACTTTAGAATTTCTAATTGCTTCTATTTTTGCCTCTTCTTCCAATAATTTTTCTTTTGTCTCTACTTCTTCTTTTTTTTCAGTGACATTGTGTAATCCAGATTTTTCTTTATCAACATATTCCGCTTTCATTTTATTCCATTCAATTTTCCATTTTACAAAGTTCTTATTCTACAATATGTTCATTAGATATAAAATTACATTCATTTTTATAGCTATAGGTTCTATCCTATGATTAAGAGATCATAAAAAACTACTATCTATTTTCAATCAAATTATTGAATAAAAAAATTTTTTCATTGTTTATAATATTAATATTTAAAAGATTTCGAAATTCTAAATAGGTAGTTAGTTTAGTTTAAATTTATTAGGTATGTAATGTGAAAAAGGATATTTATTTAAAAATGAATATTAGAAATACTAAATTGAAAAATTTTTGTAGATGATAAAATGTTTGTAGATTATATTATAGTTTATTAAAAGAGGTCTTTTAAATATTAGCCTCATTATGGTATTAAAATTTTTAAGCAAAATGATCCAATAATTACATAAAAATGAAAATTTTTTATTTTTTATTTCATTAGATCATGTTTAATTATTTTTAAATTAAAATAAAGTTTTTACTTTTTCCACTTCTCGGTCAATAAACTGACGCATCCAATTAGCATTATTTTGCTTAGATTCAAATAAAACGTCAGGGGTTAGAAAAATTCTTAAAGCCCCATTATAATCACAAAATGCAATACATTGAGGATTTAAAGGCAGTTCATGCGTATAAATTCCCGTGATTATTCGTCCAGACATGCTTTCAATGATATTTGGCTCGTGGCTTTTAATAAACATATCCCAAGTCTCAACGGTGCCATCATTGCGGCCAAGGATAAAAACAGTTGGTCTGTTGCTATCCCAACTACAAGCGGTATATCTGTAGCCATAGAAGTAATAGGCATATTTTTAAGGAATTAAATGAATACAATATATGGTTAAATAATTAATAAAATTATATTAATTATAAAAAGAAATAATCAATACTTATTAATTTTGTTACATATCATCGTATTTGAGATTGGAGCAACTTCGAAGAATTTAAAAGTTGGGAAAAGTACAAGCTCTCGGACGCTCATATTTGTAAACAAGATTCGGCAAATTCGGAAATTGTCTATGCCTTAAATTTCAAATATACTACAATTTCTCCACATAGCAACGCCGATAAAACTTCTAGAACCTTCCAAGGTTGTGTCCTTCGATGCATCTAGAATATTCCGGAGCTTCGTTCTCTGATGCCACTAAGATTTTCAGCATAGCGACAGGCCCAAGTGTTCTTGCCAGCATTGCAAGCTGCTACGCGAATATTTAAGAGCAAATCGCCATGCTCACTGTAATTCTACCACTCGTTCACTCATATATTATTACCCCCAGTGTATTTTCAATCTATCTAGGATCAGTTATAACTTTCGACCACGAAGCTTATCCACATATCTAGCAAGCCGCATACAATACATAAGAATTCGATTCTACGATTATCTATGATAGAGAATTAGTCATTCTACAGTGAAGCCATAATTCTTATAACAACTAAGTACACCACGCCAAGCAGTCATCAGTAAGCAGTGTCTATAATTTATAAGGTATTCTCAATTAATTATTCGTATGAGCTAGTCACCCACGTTTCTACCACGTTTAAATTGAGTTTGTCACGAAAAGAACAAATCCTTTCACGCTCCCCCTGGAGCTCAGTCACGTTCATCCCCCCTCCCCCATTCGGGGTAAGTCCGACTTCATGGCAGACTCCTGTTTCTAAAATAGTCGACGACAGGCTCTCAATACTGCGCTCCTCGCGCTCCCTTTGGAGCTCAATTACGCTCTCTCAGAGCCTTCCCTGCAGAGGACGATCGCTTACATGCGCTCTCTCAGTACTTTTCCTGTGACGATGCGCTTTGACCTCTCTATTCCGCATTAGCCACAATCCTTTCATGCTCCCATTGGAGCATGGTCGATCCCACGGCATACTGCCCTACGCAAATAGTCGACTGTAACCTCATAAGGACAAATTCTTCCATACTTGAAGGTATATTCTTAACTGTTCTTGCGTATGACTAGCTCTCCAATGCTCCCATACTCCCTTCGGAGTGTGGTCGATTTTACGCGTCAAATACGACAGAGACATTGATGTGCTTTCCCGGTTGAGCATTATTAATTCTCCCTATTAAGCACTGCTATCTGCCATTACCATCTTCCCATCCTCATTTGATGGGCATGGCCGACTGCTTATGCTGATCCTTGTAACATCAGCATAAACCCAACATTCAACATCTATTATTAACATCAATACAAGAATCGTCACCACTACAAGAAAGCAACCTCACCTTCACCATAGAATAATTATTTCTCTCTCACCTGAAGCAATCATAGAACTACAATATTGTAATTATTAATAAATCAGAATAAACGATGTCTTAATCAAGAGTATACATTGTACATATTTACAGCCCTTCAACTTGTGTTTTTTCCTACCAATCGCTGCAGCGAGAGACTAATCCACTGAACTATTGAAGTGGCAGTTTAAGCCACAAAACAAACCCTCAAAATCAAACACATTGAATGTTATATGGTTAGCTATAAACTTACATATTATTACGATTATTGTAAATTTCAGATCTTATTAATATATCCAAATCTAGCTTAGTGTTCGAAACTGTTTGATTTTCTGGCTCGAACAGCTAAAATTCGATAGCTTTATAATAATTTGTCGCCCGTCCTAGCGGATGCTTGGGGAGGAGTAAATGGAAGAGTTGTAGAAATACAATGTGCGCTTTTTCGTTAAATATGGTTTATTATGGTTTATTTACAATTACATTATTGATAAGTTGGTTTATGCGATGGAAAGATGTAGCCTATGTTCAATCACGAAGCTGTAATTGCTTGGAACTGCTCCTGGTGTGAATAGTTTATCTACACAACATGTTCCTTGATGATGGTAATGTCGTTGTTGATCTTGTAAGGATCAGCAACTGATTATATACACTCCTTATTAATGAGTGTTTTATGCTATTAATAATACCGTAATGCTAGTCGTGTAAGGACTAGCAATAATTATGATACCTTAGACTTGTTTTACTCACAAAGATACAGTAGCTTTGATCTGATCCTGTGATGATTATTGTAGTCTAGCATTTTCTTGATATGAAGGTGATGGTGTCAAACCCTTATATTGCAGCACAGGAGAAACACGCGTCTTTCTTCTGTTGTGGTGAGTAGCTTGCAGGCCGACTAGCCCTCATGGATGAAGAGCATGACTAACTGAGTCAATGGCTGAAAATCTACTACTCTGGTTTGTGGTGTCCTTGCTTTAAATATCCACGCGCCAGCTTACTTAGCTGGTAATAATGTATAGGTGTTGCTATGCGGATAACATTGCAGGACGTTTGAGAGTAAAACTTGAGAAGTTTCAAGAACTCTAAGTAAGTAAAGTTTTAGAAGGTTGGAAAATTCCAACCGATGTTATTATGCGGAGACCAGATAACATTGTAGAACATTCGAAAGTAAATCATTTTAATGTTCCAGAATTCTGGGAATCAAATATTTACAAAAATTCGAGAGTTAGAAAGCTCGTACATTTCAGAGAGCGTAAGGTCTTGGAAAATGTTCCAATTGAGAACACTTATAAATCTATAAAACTTAAAAAGTATCAAGTTTAATAAATTTATGATTTTGATAAAATATCAATTTAGACAATTTTAAAGTTATTACAATAAGCTTATTCAGAACGAAAATCCATTAATTCAATGAACAAAAAATTTTAACTTTCAATTAATGTATGGTTGGAAATAAAATCTTACGTTATTTATTTTTTAATTATAATTGATTATATTGAAGTTTTTTTCATGTAATGCTTAGGACACCACTACAATTTATTACAACATTTAATACATTAGAATTTAATAAATTGCAACAAATTATTAATTTATTTTTTATTTTATATATATATATATATATATATATATATATATATATATATATATATATATATATATATATACGTGCGTGTGTATAATATATATATATATATATATATATATATATATATATATATATATATGCACGCTTAAGTGTATATACATAATTATGTATGCTATAAAAATGTAATACAAATTTTACTAGAATAATTATCCAAAATTACTAATTTTTACAAATGATATTATACGGAAATACAAAATACAGTATACTGGTACATTTATATATATATAATGTATATATACATTATGTATTATATGTGAATGTAAACCATAATTATTTTATAAAATTGAATGTTTCTTAGTTACCTATATTGCGATTTTCGCCAAATTATAGGTATTTCAAAATCTTCACGCCAAACTGCAAAAATTCGTCCACCCACCGTTAATATGAGATCTTTCAAATGCCGTGATCTGGATACATGACATACAGGTCCATCGTGAATTTGTTTAACCCAAACCCATTTGCAAACCTCTTTATTCAAAGTTACTCCAGTGGAAAATTCGTAGCCATCCCAAGAGAGAACGCCACAATCGCCTCTGGCAGTGCCAACAAAAATTTTCGCTATTCATATAAAAGAAATATTAAAAGTAAGGAATCAGAGGATATAAATATTTTTCATGCCTTATTATTGTATTAATGTATTTCATATAAAATAAATTATTAATTTTGAATATGATAAACTATTATATTCAAAGTTCTTAATATATATTTGAATAATTTTTTGTTTAATCGAGCATACTTATGTTAATATATCTAAACAGTTTTTTTTTTAATCATTTAGATATTTTTGTGAAAATATAATTTATTAATATTTTCTACAATGGAAGAGTAATTAAATAAATATTTATTTTTATTACGGTTAAGATTGAATTATGCAAAAAAAATTAGTTGTCTGCTCTGTTTAATTAAATCAATTTTTATATTTAAACTATTAGCTGATTTACATAAACTATTTTATCATAAATCATTGTCGTTTAATAAATTTCAGAAAATATTATTTTGAATCAGTGGAAAAGTGCTTAGATATGATGAAAAATACTTAAAATAATTATATATTATGAAATCTACTATTTTATATGATTTATTTTTTAAATATTAAATTGTAAAAAACTTTTAGTTTTGTATAAATTTTATTATAGAATTAAAAATCTATAAATAGATATTTATCTCTGCGTATTATAAAGTATATTATTTATGTAATACATATATGAATCAAATATATTCATATGTATGAATAATAATTTACTAAAAATGAGAATTTAGAATAAATATTTATATCTGGAAAATTAAAAATTATAATTATATAAAATTAAAATAAATATAAAATGAAGAATGAAATAAAATCACTTACGTTTTACATATTATGAATGAAATTAAAGAAAAATCTTTTATGCGCTAGGCTTTACGTGTAAGTATCACAATCGCAAACATGCATGTGCGTATATACACATCCATGCATATATACAATTATGCATATATACAAGCCAAATATACAATATATACATATATACAATTTATAATTAAATTCGAGTATGCTTTAAAATTTATATTAAGATTTGAAAATAGTTAAAAAATAAATAAAAAAGCTTTATGTATGTATGTATATATATATATATATATATATATATAGGGAAAATTTTCAAAACTTTCTGTTACATATTTTTACCACCACATATTTTATTCTGTTTCTTCATAACTACTTTGTAGTATCTGCGTGTGATTATATCATCAGATTGTATTATTGGTGCCATTTGTTCCTTTTTTATATCCGGTTTAGGATAAGTCATAGACGTTATGATAGCATTATGAGTTTCATTCGGATTTTGAACAATCAAAAGATAAAGAGGCTTGAAAATAACGTCAAGAATCTTGAATGGTGATATTGATTGTATGAGACTTTGTGGCTTCTTTGTATTTTTTTTTCTTTCTTTGTTTTCTTTTTTCTTTCTTTGATCTGTTGATGGTCGCCAACTTTTTGTAACATATTTTAGTAATCATTATCAATTTTTAATTTTTATCAAGTAGTTCATGCAGTTTAATATTAAGTATAAAAATACATACGCATGCATAAAAATAACGAAAGTTATTTATTATTTTAAAACCTTTAGAAAATTATTCTTTTCATTTAAAAATTGTATAATAAATATAAATTATATACAATGCATATTACATTTTTTGATTAAATATAAACAAAAAATTAAAATGTATAGAAATTACAGTTTTCTATTAAATATAAGCTTTAACAGCTAATTACATAAATATATTTTTAATTTTTTTCTTATATGTAAGTCTTAAATCAAATGAATATTAACTTGAGATCCCAAAAAGCAATGCTACCATCTTCACAGGAGGAAATGAATTGCAAACTTAAATTTTTTTCGTCGGTGTTTTCTGGTAATTCGTGAAGTATTCCTCTATCATCAAGTTTATTGTACGGTGAGAGCCATTTAATTTTCGTAATTGGACCTTTTTGACTTAATTGCAATGACGATGTAGCCGTTGGCCTCAAGATTGACGAGCTGCGTGCTTCCTTCATCCATGTCGAGAGACTTTTCATAAAAGTTTGGTATTTGGCTTGAGCTGATGTTTGCACAATGATCATTTCAACTTCTTCTATTTTTCCAGTTATGTCCCAAATAACGATCTAATCAGCAGTAAATTTGAGATTCCTTTTGCACGTTTTAACGTGCCATCATGTAAATTGAGCTTATTTGTTATTAAATGATTACCGCTAGTATTATAGATAAGAATATATTTTGGTAATTTTATTTTTATTAATAGTAGTTAGTCTTTCAATGTTACATATTTTCCTAATAATTAAGACAAATGCCATTAAATCATTGCTTTAAAAAATTAACAAAATAATGTACTATTTTCAATTTTCATTTATTTAAAATTTAATTAAAAAATTAATATAAATTGAAATATCAAATTAACTATATATATATATATTTTTTTTTTTAATATAGTCAGTAATTAAATATATATCTGAAAATTACAAAATATAATTCAATAATTATTCTGACAGTTACTTGTCCATTAATGCAACCACCAACAATAATATTTCCATTGGTAGGACAAAATGAAACTGTAGTAACTTCCCTCTTAGATTCAAGGATGAGTTTAGGTTTCAGGCAATCATCAAAGGACCAAAGAAGAACTTGACTTGCATGATTATACTTCTAGAAGTAATAAAAATTGGATGCTATACATTAAATTCTACCAAATTATAATTGTTTTATAACATTTGTATTAAATTTCTTTAATTTTATAATTTTTAATAAGAAACATCCTAAAACATATAATTCATTAGAAAAATTAAACAAAATTTATATAAATTATTAAACAAATTTAATTTAATTTTTGCTTGTTTTAAAATATATAAATAATTATATATGCTAAAAAAACATAAGTACATGTTATTTCGTTACGAACCAGATTGAGAACCATACGGGTACTGAGATTTTCACTCTTGCTGATGGTGGTATAGGCTGCGGCCATTATGCCAGTCCATTGTGGATGCCAAGTAACATCATTGATCAAACATCCTTGGCTTAATTGTCCATTGTAAAAGTTTTGTCGCTCTTTATACCCCTTTATTGATATCATGCTTGCTTTTGTTAAATTGCCAAACGCGACAAGCTTTGCGTAGTCATTCTGGTACATATCCCAAGCGGAGTTCATTTGTATCTAAAACAAATATAGTGAGTCAACTTCCTGTTAATAGAAATAAAAAATATACATCATTGGGTAGAGGGAGGGGCTACAACAATTTTCTATATAGTTATCCAGAAATTTTTCGTTTTCTAGTGATCGCTTCGTACTATATTGAATTGAGTGATGAAAGATAAATAGTTTCTTTACTTACAAATTGTTTATTTCAAGATAAATCAGTTCTCGTTTTTATGAAAATTTTTAAACTCATTTAAAATAGTAAATGTAAATAAACAAAATACATTTATTTATTTTGCAAATTATCTTATAACTAATAAAATTAATGCAAATTAACATATAGATAATGAAATTAATCAAAATTAACATATAAATAATGAAATTAATGCAAATTAATTTATAAACAATAAATTAAGTAATCATAAATAACTATATATTATTATTATTATAAAATATGATAATGAAGTTATAAAATTTTGCTTATAAATTTCATGACAATACTGACAATAAATTAAATCTAATGCTTTTCTTCAAAATTTAACTCATGTTTATCAAAGAATTAAAGATAAGCAAATTTTATTGTTGTGACAAATATAATAATATAAATTACATTTATAAACTATTAAAATTAAAAATATACGACATTTAGAGTATACGTATAAATGAACATCAAATTTATAAAGAAAGAAATAAATTTTTATTATCTTTTTTAAACGTGTTTGTATAATTATTTTTGTTTATATAATTTATAAAAAAATTCAATATGAAAATGAATTATATAAATACTAATTACATATTTATTATGTAAATAAAATATCAATATATATTGTTTAATATAAAAATATATTTAAATATAAAAATTGTATGAATTTATTTATTTATGAATATTTGTGATTCCAAGTTATTTTAATTTTAAGCTTTAATTTCAATACGTACATGGTCACAAATTTCTTTAGAGTGATTTTTCATAAATTTTTTCAGATTTTTGTAGTTGATGCATTCCATTTCATTTATGATTTTTGTATCCAAAATACATTCACATGAAGCATTCACCGGCATTGATGTTGTAGTTTGAACTTCATTTTCTCTAGTTATACGTGCATCATCTGAAGCTTTATCGATAAGAACTCTTATTATGTTACTAAACGATTCACGGCGAGGAATTATTTCTACAGAGTCATCTCTTTTTGTTTCACAAGTTTTATTTGTAAAGATAATTGAAGTTTTTAGTTGATTAATTTTAGATTCAACCTAAAAAAAGCATAATATTGCATTGAAAATTTTCTTAATCGATAATTTTTTTATTTCAAATATCAATTATTAAATATCAAGAGGAAAATATTTATTTAATACTAAAACTATGAAGTGAAAAAGCTTAATATAAACTTAATATTGATAATAATTACTATTATTGATTAAATAATTAAATAAACTATATGATAAACAAAATGAAATTTTGATATTAAAATGATTTAAATTTAATGTATATCATTTTGCATATTTATTTTATTATATTTAAAAATATAATATGTACCAAAATATATGCATTTTGATAAATAATTTAAATTAAAAATTGTTAAATGTATACTTAAAGTTTCTATAAGCAAGGATGAATAATTAAACATTATAAATACTTAATTTGTCAGTCAGACATCAAATACAAAGTAATATGTAATAATATTATCAATAAAATAATAATCGAATATAATTAATTAAATTTCAATATATATATATATATATATAAAGAAAACAAATCTAAGCTTTAATAATATTTAATATTGTATAAAATGATTATATATGACACGTTTTATCACATAAAATTTACTATAAAATATTATACAAAATGAAGAACTTTAAAAAGTTTAGATTATTTCTATTTATGTCTTTATTATATTTAAATATCAGAAGTACTATTTTTATATTTTAATCTATAATCATACATATTTACAATTATTTTCGAACAAATTCATAATATATATGGACACAAAATTTTTTTAAAAATGGAAATGTCTATTAGTTTAATATTAATTTAAACCAATATTTGTAACATATTTATTTATTATTTCTAAATATAATTCTTATTTAAAAAAAAGCATTTGTAGGACTATTGAAGTATATTAGAAAATAGAAATTTTTAAATCTAGATTTCATACTTCATTTCATCCTAATTTTTTGGTCAATTTAGAATTATTTTTATATAATTAATAATAATTAAATAGTCAATATAAAACATAAGATTTTTTATATTTTGATTTTTAATAATTTGAATATCAAATTTTATACGCATTTTACATGTTGAAATACCTTCATTAAATACAATTAATGTCTTATTCATTAGAGTGGTTTTATTAATTTTTTTATTAATTAATAATTAAAATTAAACGAACATGAAGGATGTCTATATTGAGTCGATAATGGAATATCAAAGAAGTTAGACTGATCATCACAAGAGCATCAGATAAAAAGTTCATCCAGTAAATGCAATTAGATTTCGTATAAAAGATGAGACAGAAGAGAAATAGTAAATCATCCATCTTTCAATACTTAATAATATTATATTATGTTTTGGGAAAGATTCAGATAGTCGGTTACAGGAATTGGCAATGGACTAAAGAGTTAAAGGTTGTCCGGAAATGCATAACCACATACGTTTCAAAGTCATGGTTTTACATTTATAGTTGATATATATATTTTCATAATTTATTGATATTTTCAAAATAGATATTTTTCAAATTTATTGCATCTCTCCGAAATTAAATTAAAAGCCCCTGTTTAATAAGGCATTCTATTGTATGTTTTAAGATAGGAAGCTTTAGAATGATTTATATATCAATGTACTTCAGTTCGACAAAATCATGGGTATGTACTGTTATTGTTATTATATTCTTTCTTTATTGTTTAAATTGATAAATAAAGAAATATAGGATTGCTTTTCATTACCAATATATGTTAATATTTACATACAATTAAAATATAAAAATATAATTGAATAATAATAATTACTTAATCTATCGAATTGTAAATAAATAAATAAATATATATATATATATATATATATATATATATATATATTCATTAAGAAAATTTTATTTTAATTTAAGAGTTTATGTTAATTAATTTCTAGAAAGCACTTTTTCCTTTAAAACATATAAAAATTAATTTTATAGCATTTTACAGGGTATAAAACATAATATTTATACAATTTTTTCTCATATTAATTGAATATTTTTATATTAAATTAGAATATCTTTTATAATTACTCTGTAAATATTTAAAAGTTTATAAAATAATATAAAAAAATTAGAATTAATTTTATAATTATTATCAAATTAGTTGTTTTTATATATTTCCAATAATACAACAACACTAATATAGTAAATCCAGATTACAAGGTATTCTAGATGATAAACATTTAAGGAGATGCAGAAATGAATAATAAATTAAATTATTATCAATAACACAGGACGTAACTGTAATAAAGGTTTACCTCAACCTCGTAAAGTAATCGTGACTTTTTGATGAACGATTCTCTAATAAAATCGGCGCTGCCAAGGGGCTGCCAGTACTTAGGAATCTTTTGAACTGCACTCATTACACATTGCTGCTGCTCTAGACGTCGAGATTCGATGTAGTGGGTAGCAGCGCCATAGCTTTTTTGTGTTAGGCATATGTAGAAAACATTGTTGTCTATTGCCGTCGGAGCATAAGCCAAAAGTAACTGCTGCTCTGGGTACGACTGGATGCTATCAATTATTGGTAAGAAATCACTGCTATCAGAGTGCAGGTCGAGATTATCTTGGATCAATTCCTTGTTTATAGTAATCCATGGATGTTCTGTTGCTACGTTCTCATCTACCACGCAGCCGAGAAACTTTTGAGTAAGTGGTGACAATCTTATACGAGCTACTTCTGATTTCCCCTTTAATCCAAAAAATATTGAGAAATATTTTAACCAATAGAATAGTCAGTTTCAAATTAATATATTAAATTTAGATGTAGCTAGTATTGTTTATTGCTGATATCTATAAATTTAAAAATCTTTTAATAATTTAAAACAAATTCGAATGAATCGATTTTATTCGCTTATGATAAAAAATAATAATTATTTTTAATATTATTTATTATATTATTACAAGAACATATTATGTTTTCGTGTGTTATATTATTTTAATTACTAAAATTAGTATTCTTAAAAGTGTATAAAATTTACAATATATTTCAAATTTGTTGATCATAGACCAATATTATTATACTTCCTATACTGTTTTATGTTTATATGTCATACAAACATTTATTTTAAAATTACAAACCAGAAACTTGCATTTTCTAATTGAAAATTTTATAAATTTTCATCTTATGGTGAACGTGTTGAGTATTTTTACAAGTTAATTCTATATCAATTTTTTTTTAAATACCTTTTAAAAGTTATTACATTTCATTATTAATTAACAATATTTATAATTTACTAATATTATATTGTTAAACTTTATGAATTTATTTCAATTTTTTAATTCATTCTTTTAATATAGGTAAAATATTATATACATAAATTTATTTCAAATTTATGACCATATTTCAACTTATTTCTTTTAAATTTTTTTTGTTGGTTAATATGAAATTGATATGTATTTAATTATTTCATATTATATGTATTATAGTAAAATAATATATATAGTATAGAATCATTTATTTATTATATGCAATTTAATAATTTTCGTTATTGATAATATACAACCCATGAAGAATTGTTTAAAGTCTTTTTTCTATAGTGAAATTATGCATATTAATTGTTTAATATAAAACAAAAATTCTCTCACTTAAATAATCTACACATATTAAGAAGAGGGATATTGCGGACAATTTAATCATTAACTATTATCGAGAATCTGCAGGTTTTAATTCGATAAATAGTGATATTTAACTACTAACTTACTGAGAAATATGATAACAAATTACTGAATTATAAATGGACAAGTGTAACAAACCAGTGAATCAAAAAAGCGTATCAACGCCTTAGTTTTTATTTCCTCAATATCTTCACTGCTCCTCTCTACGAAGTTAGATTTGGTGAAAGAATCAAGCTCATATAAGCTGTTGCGTCGAGTAGGTTTATCTTTAGTACTTAATTGCGTTAAATCAAGCGATTTCTCGTCATTCTCAAAGGAGACTTTTTTTTGGCTTTGCTCTTGCACCTCAGCGCCTTGTTAAGCACAAGTCTTTAATTAATAAATAGAATGGGACGCTCGGTACTTAGTTTTATTTAGATAACATTATTAGTAACAATAGTTTTGTGAATTATTAAATAAATTTTGACAATTCACAGTCTTCTAATGAATAAAATTATTGTATTAACAATTTATATAACTAATTACTATGATGAGAGATATAATATAATAAAAGTTTGCTTTCGAAAAAGTTAGGAGGTCATTAGTAATATTATACGCACTTTAATAAATGTTACATTATTAAAAAGAAGTCATTGGTTTTTTATTAAGAAGTATATATCTTTTTGAGCCTTCATTATGTATAACTTAACCTCACCTTCCGTTTCCCCGACTTCCAGTTGCCATAAATAGTCTGACTCTTCAGTGTTTTCATGAAAACCATCATCATCGTTATAATAAGTTAAATCTTTAAATCCTTGTAAATGCACTGCATTCTGTTCATCCATGTTTTTAAAGTTTTATGGAAGAAAACGTATATATGCATATATATATATATTTATATTATAAAACAAGACTGACTTTCAATTGTTTTGAGGTGGCTCCATAAACAAAAATACACGGTCCTATTATCATTATTCTTAGATAAATAAATATTTTTAGAAAAAAATATATCACTATTTATAATTGTTTAAATATATTACAAATATATCATAATCACTTTGCTAATACCTCTTACCTTTACTAATTTATGGTAATAAATAACTAAACACTTTATAAGTTTTATATCATTATTCATCTATAATATATATAAATATATATATATATATATAAATTGAAGAATATAAGTATTCAAATATAAATAATAAAATCAGTATTTTAATTTGTACTCATAGATGTCTATGAGTATTATTATTATTATTCTCTATTTATAATTTATATTTAATGGTTATTTTTCGGCATGTTGTTATAAAGAATATAGAATCAATCATTTTTATAAATAATATTTAATGTTTCAAAGAATACTGTAAAAGTTTTATGTATCTAATTATTAATAAACTTTTTTGAAAATTTCTTTGTTGAAATATACATCGATTCCGCGAATTTCAATGTAAGTTAAATTAGCATTTACTTGCAAATTCTTTAAATACGTAAAATTTGATTAAATAGCTGCAATGTATGGGTATGCAGATCATAACATTTTTTATTTCCTTTATATCCTTCTTTCTCAGTACATTTCTCTGCCTCTTCGACTTCCTTTTATTATTTTATCTATTTGTTCTTTTGTGAAAGATAGAATCATTTAATGAATAATCAATTTATCGAATGATTAAAATACGAAAATCTTGCATATGGTACAAAATTATAAAGAAATAACCATTCTTATGATAAGTAATATATTATTATGTAGTATATAATAAATGTCGAGATTGGGCATTATATAATTATGTAACAAGTAATAAAAATACAAAATTGTAGATGTTTCATACAATCAATAAGATAATACAATTTTATAAAATTATTTATATATTGTAATACTAATATTACAATAGGTATATAAAATCGATATTTATTTGCTACATATGAAATGAAAAATTAAGAATAATGTTTTAAATAATTATCATAATTATCTGTAACAATTATCTTTAGTTTGTAACTGATTTAAATAAAAATCTATTTGTTCGGGATTAATGCAGACCCATGAATTTCAAACAAAAGAAAGGTCATATGCGCTGTCCGGCGTACCGCATGTGCGCCTAGGCTGACCCGCAAGTGCGGACCGAGACGGGTACTCGAGCAAAATGTTTACAAACAAAACTCGGCAAGTCCGAGCAAGTTTACGATCTGAAATATAATTTACTGCCAGCCCTCACAAAAAAGGGACGCCTACGAAACTTCTATAAGCTTCGTTTTCTCACGCGAAAAGAAATTTTCTGGGACGCGAATTGACACTGTTGCCGGCGCTGCAGACGCCGCATGCACATTTAAATGCAACACGCCATGAGGCGACGCTCATTTATAATATCACTTCGCGCTCTCTCAAGCGTAACTGCCGCTCAGTGTATAGTATACTGTGAAGACGACGCGTGACCATATAATCGGCATCATAGTTAAAAGTACTCGCGTGAATACGAATAAGAAATCGGCAGATTAGATAGTGATTACAGTGAAGCCAATGGAATAACTGACCCTCGACATCATACAGGCCCGCTAGCAGAACCAGGGCACACTTACGCTCTCTCAAACTAACCACTCGACATTGTACAGGCCCGCTAGCATAAACTGGGCACACTTACGCTCTCACGAACTGACCCTCGACATCATACAGGCCCGCTAGCAGAACCAGGGCACACTTACGCTCTCTCAAACTAACCACTCGACATTGTACAGGCCCGCTAGCATAAACTGGGCACACTTACGCTCTCACGAACTGACCCTCGACATCATACAGGCCCGCTAGCAGAACCAGGGCACACTTACGCTCTCTCTAACTAACCCTGGACATCGTACAGGTCCTCAACAGCTGACGCAAGAGTCACTGTGGTTCACACACATTGTCAAAGAAGGACAACAACAGATCGACTAATAGACTATAAACACAGATTATTAAATCCTTCACGAGTTACAAATCTTACCATTAATTACTCTTACCTGTGACCAAATTCTTCTACTGTCCCCTTACATAATTAAAGACACAATTGATTACTTAATAAATTCCATTTAACATCTTACATCATATCAAGTATGGTTATTCATACACCAAGTGCACTTGATTTAAACACCACGCCATCTTCTCATGCTGCCTCACAAGCATGATTGACTGACCACATTAGCTGATATTTACATCATCGGCATAACCTCAATCACAATACACAGCAAGATCCAGTAAACCTTCAATGATCAAGAATCCAAGAAAACACCCCATTTTTACCTCAATAGAATTATCTCTCTCTACACTACAGTGCAATATTATATTTAATCTTTACAATAATAAACATTGTTTTAATAAATACATTATATTTTTCAGCCTTGTCTATTATTATTTCCTTTACAATTATCCTGCCGAGAGACTAATCCACTGAACTATTGAATTGGTAGTTCGAGCTATAAATTAAACCTTTAAAATCGAACACTAATTTAATTATTTTTATTAATATACATAATCTTATAATATACAATAACACTTTAAATGATGGACTGAGTAATTCAATTAATAAATTAATTAAATAATTAATATCTATCTATTAGAAAAAATGATATTCGAGTTCATAATTTACAAATAAAAATTTGGTTAATTTGAAGTTAATAAGGCAAGATCCAAAAATTAGACACGTTAACAAAGTATAAAAATGTAAGGATTTAGCAATATAAATGATATAAAGAATTTTCTTAACAGTCTATGTATTCAAGATAATACCAAAAATTAATTCAAATAAGATTTGACATAATGTAGACATAGGAGCAGTCTTAGCCATTTTCTGCTTGGGGAAAGAATTATATTTCTATGATTTTCATTGTCTAGAGTTTCACGTAGTTATTCACTGACTACTTATGTGATTTCTCAATTAAATGTATTTTTATTATTAAATTATTAAACAGTATCGTTTACATTTGCTTTCGCAGAATTCTCGACTAGCTCAATGCTTAGATTCTCGAACTTTCTACAGCTGTTGAGTAAGTCAAAGTGAAATTAGTGCAAGTATAAATAGTCCAAAGTTCTACATGTCTGTCTACGGGAATTCGTGCAAAATATACTCATTTGCTTACATTATTTATTGCTGGCTAGCTATCGGCGGGCCCTTCACAACGTGGCTCTAGTCAGACCGTATTGAGGGTGAAGACATAGACTGGCATCTCAAACAAAACTATTTGTATCACATCTTATTATTAATACGGCTCATCCCCGACACTATCGGTCAGGCCTCTGCAACTTGATTCTTATCAGACCGCTGAAGAGGGCGTCGATACTGTTTGATATTCCCCACTGCATCATTTCTTGAGATTCTTTCCCATGAATAAATCGCCGAATAATGCGCTCATGGATTCGCGACTCTTGCGATTCTCTCCCCCATTATGAACTAAAACATGTGCCTAGTATAACCGGCACAGTCCTTGCCTTGCACTCCCAGACGGACGTTCTACAGTTTATGGTCAACTGTTAAATCACGACGGGCTCAACAATTCTCATAACGATCGGTAACAACAACAACCAATGTAACATAACCTTAAATAAAAGTCACCAAAACCAATTGTTTACACTGAATTAATGCATTAACCTCTCACTCATCCTCCCTCTCCACCATTAAACCGGTGGTACGGTCTAATCGATCCACCTTGGTCTTCGACTAATTCTGTTGGCTGGAATTCCAAACATTTATAATTAACAATATAATGGTCATCGCAAGATTAAGAATGAAATATTAAACTAATATTGAATCAGTACAGTAACCTATTTTATAAATTCTAATTTTTATTATGTAGATTTACAAAATTTGTTCGATTTTAAATAAATCAAATTACGTACACCTTATAACATATTGAAAAGTTATAAAATGTTAGAAAAAAATTTTAAGGTACGATATAAAGAAATGAATGATGAAAGATTTTAGGTTTATTCAGTTAATAAAATTAATTTTAAATATTACTTCAGGTTTAAATTTTTTTTTAATTCTGAAACATTTTAAACACTGCAATTTATACATATACAACATTGATTTTATAGTAATAGGTTTAAATTTCATGTAAAAGTAAAATATGTATAATTAATTATAGTACATAGACTAATAATCTTTTTAAACATTTTATATATATAATTGTTTAATGTATAATTATAATGTATAATTAATTTAAATGATACAATTATTAAATTAACATTTTAATTGAAATAAATAATCTTTATAGATATAAAATTTAAATTTGTAAATATATAAAAAAGAAATTATTTGTTTAAATATATCGTTTTATCAAAACACTGTTACTTATTAAAACTTTTCTCAATACTATCAATATATTTATAGTATATTTTCCTTTAAATTTTAATAAATAAAAACATTAATTTGTAATTGATTGATAGAAATTGGCGATTTGAAAAAATATTTAATTATTAAACTTATTTACGTTTTGGTTGTTACATACAGATAATTTATGTAAATTATTAAAATTCTATTATATGAATTAATTGATTTTAATTATTTTCACTATAATATATAAAAGATATAATAATATATATTCTTTAAATTTTTATAATATTGTTAAGATATTATTTTTCTTTATGAATTAGCTTAACACTTTTCATTTTTAAATAATAATCTATTACCTAATGATCTTTTAGCTTATTAGATTGTTTAATACTAAAATGAATTTAATTTTGTTTATTTGTATTGTATATTTTAAATAAAAATAAATCGAATATAAATGAAAAATATATTGTGCTGCTTTGTATTAGTACGGTAACAGCTAATTTAATTAATATATTCGAATAATGATTTAGTAAATTAAAGAAAAAGTT